AAATAGCTTGTGGCAGACGTTTCTAGTTGCCTATCCAAAATCCATTTCCCTTATTTTCTTGCTAACAGAAGCCCAGTTCTGCTGGCATGGTTACAGTGCACCTAAGCTGAGAGGCCAGTAAATCCTGTTTCCTGGTTTCTTGACTTCCCTTCTTGGTAAGGTAGCCATGTAACCCAGTTCTGGCTAATGAGAACTAAGGGAAGGCTGTTGCAGGGATACTGTGAAAGCTTTTTCTTTATTGATGTGGCAAGGGGCCTTCCTGTTGCCTTAAACACAGAAGAAATGTCTATGAAGGCAAAGGTATTATCATTATCTCCAGTTTTATAGATGAGGATGTTGTGTGGAGTGACTTGCCAGCAACAGTGCAGCTGTGTCAAAGAATCAGCATTTGAATCCAGAACCTGGCTTCAACACACTAAGAATGACAAAGCAGAAAAGGAGACTAAGTACCCAAGGGCATCGCTGAGCACAAACCAGCAAGTCTACCTCCAGACTTCTCATGCCAGACTCCAGTTTGGTCAGACTACTTTTAGATGCATATTCTTTTACTTGGGCAGAACGAACACATCTCTTGCCATATTTTAGACCATTTTACATGACAAGACTCCCAGAAGTGGGTTTGAATCAAAGGTTATGACTTTTTTGGCTCCTGATGAATACTACAAATTATGTTCCCTAAGAATTGTGCTGAGCACTTTTGCTAACACTTTGTACCGCTGGCTGGAGTAAGAGGGTCCCATCTAGCACTCCGTCAATAAACGAGTGGAAGAGAGTGGCTAAGAAGGCAAGATCACAACTACTCTGGCATATTTTCACATCAATCCCTTGTTTAAATGCATTCCCCTCTGATTTAAAAACATTTCACAAGGGTTAGTCTTCAGGCACCTTTATTCTCCAGTCTCAGATAAAGTTATTCTTATTCAATGACATATATAAAAACATGTACACTGTAAAAGATTAAGAAAGTAGAAAGAAGAATCTCACACATGATCCTAATACCAAAGAAAACCACATTTCATATTTGGCATACTTCCCCTTGGGCTTTTATTATTCTCTATTCTCTCATGTTTAATTGGATTATTCTATACATTTCTGTACTTTGTTCTTTTCATTTGTAAGCATTTCTTACTGTAAACATTTTAATGCTGCATAATATTCCATCATGTGGATAAATCATAGTTTAACCACCTCCATAGAGATCGAATTGATAAAACAATGAAAGCAGAATTTGCAGAAGGAAATAAGATTACCATATAAGGAGTGCCCTATACAAATATATGGTATTTAAATGGTACAGAATTAGCTGTGCTTTCTGTTCTCACTTGCATTTTTAAACAAGTGCAGACCAAAGACTATACTAAGAGAGAAAAGTTATTTCCTTACAAAAGAAAAAAGCCTCCATGTCAGTATCTTACCTTCCTATTCATATTCAATATTTTAAAATATATAATACATTCTAAAAGTACGTACACAATAATTTTTAGTTTTATTTTTATACAATGAAAGGATGTCACTTGGTAGAACAGTTTTTAAAAGTGTTTATCTAAAAGAGTTTGAAGAACAAATATTCCAACTGATTAAGCATTCTGGTTAAACAAAATTGCCATACAAGACTACATAGATTATAAATTTTCAAAGAATTAGAATATGAAGTATTGAAAAAATTTATATTAACCATAACCTTTAAAAACTGTACCAAATTTAAACCATAACATTTCTTTTATGATTCAGGAATATATCTCCTACTGCTGCTGTGGTCATCCTAAGCATGTTTGTCAGCAAACAGGCATTTCATCCTCCTGCCAGCAGGATGCCCCAGGCCTAGGCTGTGCTTTTTCTGATAGCTCTAGAAGTGGCCTTGTATTACAGTCATTTAGTAAGTCTATTCCCTTCAATGGATTCAGTTTCTACATGACACTAACATTGTGTTGGCAACCCACACAGCATCTAGCAGAGTGCTTTGCACATGGCGAGCATTCAGTATACACTTTTGTATTTCAAACTAGTTCACTCACAAATGAATGAGGGGTAAAACACATATCTGTAGCAACTGCAATTGTCATTTCAAGTAAATTCAACAAAAAATAAAATAAAAAGTGAATAGATATCTAATCTTTGATGAGCAATTTATTCAATGCTGCTTACTTTGTGGCAAATACCATGCTAAGTGCTTATAAACATTAGTTCTCAAAATTCTTAAAACAATCAATGAGGTAGGTTGTATTATATTTACAGAGAGAAAACAGATAGAGATTAAATCAGGTTTCAAATATTTGCTGAGCACTGAGGATATGGCAGGGAACAGACTGTCTTTTATGCAGCTTATTTTCTAATGGAACTTGCTAAGATCCCATACATTATATATCACCATTCTAGATTTATACATCTCTTTATATATATGATGAGCTTGGACAGTGTGAGTTCCTCCTAGAAATGGATCTACTTAGGGTTGACAAAAATTTGAAACCGAACAGCTGAAGCTGAGACTCTGGTGATTTCTTCAAGGTAAAAGTCACCCTGGAAGGTATGTCTGCCTTTGCTGGCAGCATTCAATCTTATGGGGATCTGATCTTCAAATTTAAATAGAAAATATTCTCAAGAGATTTATAAAATAATAAAAGGAATCCGATAGAAATAAGGTATTATGAGATTGAAGACATAAAACAGAGTTAAGACTGTACCTTTGTAAGCCAGATATTTTTCTATCTTGCATATAAACCTCAGTTAAGAGCAGAGTGAACCCATAGTAGAACAGAGGTCAGAACACAGACTGGACTCGGCCTCTTGGCATCTCAATGGGGTGGGAAAGTCCCTTGTAAGGATGAAATTTCCTGGACCATCACGATTCATGCAGCAGAACTGTGGACCCTAGCTGCTCTGCCATTTTGAATTTTATATATCTCTCTCTGGAGCTAGATACGTGAGAAGACAGCTCAAAAAATGCAAAAAGAGTAGCTTTTAATCTGAAACATTCAAATTTGCACCAGACACTTCCTGTGAAATGCTGAAGCTGCTGAGGTTGACTCCTGACAGTTCCCCTCATTAGGCCAGTGCAATTTAATCATTAATCCTCAAGGTCTTCACAACTAATGCCCAGTGATCTGGGGCATCCTGGGGCAAGTCACAAAGTTTCATTAAAATAAAACCGAAGTTGAACTCAGAAAGTGAACAGAAGATACTGGACAAAGAACAAGAAAAGTGGTTCTTAGAAACTTTATAATTCTGAGTGGGCACAAAATTGCTTTTTACTTTAAAGTAACATAGAAGCAATTTTTTCATCTACCACATTATCTAAAAAATCTGAGGTACAAGGCAATAAATTTTCTAAATACGACAACCTGCAAACAGAGAGAGTGACCAAGGCATTTTGTCTCCTGAAATTTACTCAAGCATACTTAGGGAAGAGAGACCAACACAGCCACTCAAGACATACAAGAGTACCTATCTGAGATCAGAAACCCTTTATGGACGGACACAAGGCAAACACTGGGCTGAAAATATTGCAGGGTAAAAAAAGGCTAAAGAAACCAGTTTGATTTCTTTTTCCTCTATAGAAGAATGAGCAACTCAAATGATAACCTAAAGACAATCAAAGATTACTATTTATACATAAGGCAATTTAGAAAGCAAGGATTTTACCTGGCATTCAAAGAAATGTTTAAATCTTTTGGATGGACTAAAAGAGCTAAATTGTCTACCCAAAATCTGTACAGCAGGGACCTGTTTTCAGCAGGTAAGCCTATTTACAAGTAAGAACCTCTTACTCTTGTAACATTGTCCTGTTGTGTTTCAAGGGGATATGTAACTCCTGTGCCCTGCGGAGTCCTGTAAGGCCTCTGCAACCCCACAGAAGTATGGACCTATCTCTACTAGAGAACTATTTACACTGCACTGTAAATACACATATATACACCTGTCCCCAAATCCCCCAAATAGGCTGTGAATGCCTTGAGTGAGGGATTATGGTCATTTTTATAACTATAGTGACAAATTAGCAGACATTCAATAATTTATCCTTTATATGAACACTAAATTTAGAAAATGATTTTATAATACCACTACTATTTGCATTTCAAACATCCCCATATTATCCATCTCCAAAATAAAAACACCAAATTGCTACTAAATTTACTTTGGTTTTTATAACACAGTACTTCTGGACTTCTTAATGTAAATAAGCATTCTTGATTTACTAATTTTCAGAGTAATGACATGAATTTAACATTCTCCTTGGAATGGAACACTTGCTTGTCCAGGTTACTTCATTCTTTTTCTCTTTTTCAAAAGTGCATCTCGCAGCGCCAACTGGAAGGTAAGAAAAAAATATCTAAACATGGTAACTCTTGGGTACCCCATGATACTAATTTGGTTACATGGAAGTGTACCAAAATGAAATCATTAAGTCAATAAATCATTCTGAAAAACTACAATTAGTGAAATATCCCATAGCAGATCAAATCTGTAACCAGGTTGGCAAAGCTCTTGACTGCTTTCACCCAACACTGGGGACAAAAGCTCGAAACTGGGGCAGTCACAAAATAGAGACTGGAGCATCACCTGTCCACAGGGATAATACACAGTACTTCTCTGGTCTATACAGCTCTTAATATTCTAGAGTTGAGGTGGAACACATTGTCTAAATTAAAGCCGACAGGAAAAATTTTTTTTCACGATCACCTTTTTCAAGATCATGTATATTTCACTAAATATGGCACTTAAGGACCATGTAAAGGCTTTTAAACAGCATTCAGCACTTGTGCAGATTTAAGATAACTCTATAATATATAATTTGGAATACAAAAAAATGTTCTCTTAGTTGAAGATTTTCAAATGGGTTTGTTTAATGCAGTAAATGAACTAAGAAAATTTTATAAGTCAGAAACATGGCGTAGTGAGAGACATCCCCAGATCTCTCCCCTTGAAACCACAATATGCTGAACATCTAAAACTCAACAAAAACACTCAATCTGCACACAAGCACATCTGAGCATGGGATCTGCGCCTAAGAGCTACCATAGGTTTCAAGTTATCATTTCCTCCAATCATGTTAACAAGTATTAACTATTTCTTAAAAATAAATAAATATAAAGCAACTATTAAAATAAAATTTTTACAGTAAATAAATATTAACACCTAATCTTTATAATGGCTCAAATATGAAGAAATTAATTCAGAATTAAAATCTTGACAATTGCGGTTTATGTCAAATATTATGGGCTAATTTGTAACCTGTTTAATTATTTTGTGTTTGCTGTATGTACAATAAAATGAAAGAATTAATTTTGTATTCTTTAGTGAATGGTGAATTATGTATTCCAATTCAACTGGTTCCAAGCTTTAATCCCCTGGATTCCTTCCCTAACCATAGGAGCTGGGTTCTTAAATTTGAAAATAAAGAGTTTAAAATCTGGAGAAAAAGAAGACCGCACGACCAATGTTCAAAGCGAACCTATGAAAGTCCTTATAAAGTGATATATGTCTCAGAAAAAAACAGAATATGAAATAAAAGATCATCAAGAATAAACCCAAATTAAAAAAATAACGGTCAACATACGTATCTTAAGTGATGATGGATAATATTCCATTAATTCCTAAGCACCACTCTTGGATTCCTAGAAACTTCTTAAGATTGCTAGCTTTTGAATTTTATTAAGATATGTGTTCATTTTTGGGGGGGGAGGGTGAGGTGGTAACTTGCCTGGTTCTACATTTAAAGATTCAAATTTTTTAAATTTTATGATTTTAAGTTATTGACTCCTTGCCTTTAGCTCATATCTGGGTCTTGATATTTCTTTGTAGATAGGCAGAATAGCTGGGGCACTTGAAGTAGAAAAAAAATCAAGAAGTTCATTTTAACTTAATCTGCACAACTAAGGAGGTATTTCTCAAATTCGTCTGTGTCTTATTTTCTCATCTGTAAAACTGGTTTAATCACAGTACCTGTTCATATTGTTGTATGCTGATTAAATTAACATACTAACAATGAACAAAGTCAAGCTTCGCTATTATGACAAAAAAGCATGCTAAAAAAACAGAGGAAAGATGTAGGGAGCACAGGAATACCCTTTGCTAAACTGTAGCAAGGTCACAGAAACCTCATAATGACGCAAAGCCTACCAACTATTACTCAACTATAAACTCTCACAAAGGGCTGGTGAAGGATAAATTCATGGAATTAATCAATTCAACTATGAATTTAAACGGAGCTGGGAAAATTTTAAATCTTAAATGGCACCTTTCCTTTCACCTCAATTTCAACACCTTCTATGCGAATGCTGTCACTTTACTATTTACATAATATTAAACACAGTTTAGAACTAGAAAGATTAAATAAACAGGCAGACTTTAAAGGGCACCTTAATTCCGTTAACACTGATTTGGTTCCCTCACAGACAGAGCACTGCCCTGGAGAGCTGACCATTACATTCAGGCCGGGAAGGCTGGTCCTGGCCTAGCATTTTAGAACACGGGTTCAGAATGTAGGACTACTTTACCCTTGACCTGATTCTCTGGAGATTTTTCAGAATACAGTTTGATACACACTGGTACACCTCCAGAAGAAAAAGACATTAAAACATAAATTTATTTTACTATAGTAAATTACTGATATAAGCAAGCCCAGCAGAGGAATAACCATCGAAGACTGAAAATGGATAAAATGAAATCTCAAAGGCCTATAAACATAAAGGCTTTGCAAAGGGGCACACAGAGAAAGGATCATATCAACAACAAAACTATTTATTTTGCACTGCTTTACAAAAATTGTTTGAGATACTACGAACATAATTCTTGCTTTAAAATAAAAGTACCAGACATAAATAAGCACTCAAAAACTCAGTTCATTTTGATATTTCACATAAGAAATTGCTGAGAATTTTAGCAAGGGAATGCACCTGAGAAATCATCTAGCTTGCACCCTTTTACTTTTTTAGAGAAGAAAATTAGACTCCCCTTTGGTCACACAGATGAATCTCAACCAAGTCAGGTTTAGGATTTACATGCCCTGACTACCTTCCACCTCTCCAATAACACTCCCTTATTTATCTTGAGACACACACAATACAAGGTCTTTGAAAGGCACAGGTCCAACTCAAATGTAAGAGTCTTAGAACGACAATACTATTATAGCCATTCAAGCTTCAAGTTGAACTCACCTGCTTTTCTCGGAAGGAACGCTTATTTTTTGAGCGGACATTATGACTATACCGCATCATCATAAAGTTTTTCTGTTTTTTCTTCTCTTTATTTGTGGAACTGGAAAATGGATTCATTTTGGTCTTCTTCCTCACAAATTCTTTTCGGTTTGTCTTTCCAGCCTATCAGCACACACACACGCACAAACAGTTCAAGAGTTATCTAATCAATATACACGTCTCCTCTGTGCCAGGTACTCTACTGAAAGGCAAGGAATGGAAAATGGTCCTTGCTCCCCAGCAACTCAGTCCAGGGGAAAATGGACCATGATGTGTTATAATGGGGCTAGGGGAGCTCAGTGGAGTCATAATTCAGTCTGATGAGATCTGAGGAGCTTCTTAGAAAGGGATATCCGTTAGCTGTTTTTTGCAGGACAAAGGCATTCGTGGTGGAGGAAAGATGAAGGGTAAAGCATTTCAAGAAGTAGAGATAGTATATGTAAAGGTGTGGAGGAAAAAGAACATGGGTTTTTAAACTTATCTAAACAGGTACAAATGGAATGCAAAGGGTGATGTGGAGCCAGTATGGGATGGTGCCTAAAATAATCAAAGGTATAGACAATGAAGCTGGAACTGAAGGCAGGGCGCAATCACAGTCATGTACTTGCCAGAGGCAGACTCCAACTGTCTCTGGCTTTTCATTAATGACTGTAAACATTGCTCTGCTTTTCTAAAGACTTTGATAAATGTAATGAGCCTCTTCAATACCATGAACATGTAATAGTGCTTTTCTGTGCTCTCTAACAGGTTTCAGGCGGTGGTTACATGGCTATCTAGTTGTTAAAACTCATCTAACCAAACATCTCATATCTGTGAGTTTAATTCTATGTTCATTATACCTTTATTTATAACATTAAAATAAAATATTGCCATTCTGTGCCTACATAAGTTCTGGATCATATTTCATTTCTTTGCTTTCTGTTTCAAGGACTAGGGAATGGCAGGTCTCACTCACCATTGCAGTTGCTAGTCTTGTCTCCTTGTCAGACTTAGGCTTTTTATGAAGTCGTTCAATGTCCCGAAGAGAAAGTAACTCACCCCTGGGATGAAGGAATAAATATATCATAAAACAAGGACAAAATTCATTTCCCTAATACTTTCATTACCATGTGAGTTGACTGAAGACCTTGTATATGTGCCGCTGTACCTGGGCTCTTCATCACTGTCTATTTCGATATATTTCCTCTTTTGGGCTTTCCCAGGAGCAGCGTCAAGTTCTTTCCTCATTTGGGCCAGACGGATTTTCTGGAAGTCTTCCTGAGTTAAAACTCGGCTGGTGCTCACAGCTGCAGCTTTGGCTTTCCGCTCCTCCATGGGCATGTTATGCAGCTTCTCGGACTTGAGAGCACACAACAAAGGCTTACATTGGCTACGAGCTCACGTGAGAGCTTAAGACCCCCAACAAGGCCCAGGATAAATTAAGTCTTAGCAAATATCAGAGTGATGCGCTAGTAGAAGGAAACTTTGAGACTTACAATTTCTTGCTGTTCTTCATCGGAGGAGTGGTGCACGTCGACCCACTCACCATCATCATCTGCTCCCTCGCTGAGACTAGCACTTTCCCACCCATCTGTGTGAGAAAGAACACACTGTGGGTGCTATCATTTTAGGTTGTGTACTCATGGTAAATTGAGATAAATCAAGCAAAAGAAAAGTAAGGTTATGATCCTCAAATAAATGCTCTATGGACCAACAATTGAGCAATATTTATTGTTAAATAAGCCACATCAATTTAATTAATTTAAAGAACGGGAAATAAGCACTGACCAAGTATCTACCCTGAGCCAAAACCTTAAAATCACTTCCTCTAACCATCACAAATCAGCAGAGGAGGAACTGAGTCAAATAACCTGCCCTAAGCCGCCACACAGTTACAAAATGTTGCCTACAATGAAATCATAAAAAACCATGTTTGATTTTGGAGCCCACATTTTTTTCTACCAAACCGTGTCCATCAAAACTGCACTTGTACATTTATCTTGGCCACACAGCAAGTATCTAACTCATCCAAGCATGTTAATACATATTTAAAATAAAAACTAGTTATTAATAGTCACTTAGACTGAGGTAGAAGATTTTGGATGTAATGGAACCTTGTAGACACCTCAATACAGAGGTATTAGTCTCCATTATTTTACCACTCCTCACTTATATTTCAAGGTAAAGTTCACAGGTCACCATCTCCCTGAGGCCTTTTTTGAACCTCTAAGGTAGATCTGACTTCTTTCCTGCCCTATGCACCACTCAATCATAAATCCTCTTAACACTTTATTGCTCAGCTCTTTATGAATGCCCTCAAAGGCATAAACCATATCATTCATCTTTGCATTGACAGTGACTAGCCCATAGCTAATGCTTAAGAAAGCTATTGAAATAATGAAGGAACAAGAAGAAGACAGGACTCTAGCAACCATGTAATAAAGGCTGACCCCAGAAATCAGAATAGAGTTTCTTAAACATTCTTCGACAAGTTCAACAAACATCCTCCTTCAATGGGAAAATCTTGGAGAACTGCTAAGGACTAATCCTCATCATTTTTTGCTAGGCAACAATCAAAAAACCATTATCTTTCCCAAATGCCCAGCACATCTTTGATAAGGGGCAGCCAATCTGAAGGACATGAAAAGACAACTCGTACACTATAATGTAAGTCTCCTAAGAACAAGAACCATGTTTTAGCTCTAATGCTGGTAACAGTGCTTGGTCCATAGTCATTGCTCAATAAATATCTCCTGATTGAATGTTCAAACAGCAAACAGAATTCAAGGTCAACAGAGATATAGGAGTGATTTTTTTCTGAATAATGATGAAATAAAAATGAACCTTCATCATTTTCAGCATTCTCTTCTTCTTTTTCAACTTCCAGAATTTCTGCTCCTGGAATGTAATCTTTAGCATCTAATTCTCCATATTCTTGCACTCTTGCTTCTATGGAGGCCTCTGTAGGCTTACCCTAAAGGAAAGGAAATTGTTTTTAACAAAGTCCTTAGATTGCAAAACATTATTCATGAAAAGGATTCTCTACAATTATGAATTTAGAAGAATCACACACACACACACACACACACACACACACACAAATGGAAGCAATCGAATAACAATAATGGTTCACTTATGCCTTGGGTCAAAGTAAATCTCCCAGCCAGAACTCTGCCCACTATTTTCTTGCTCTCTTCCAGTTTCCAGATCAGGAAACTGGAAGTTATTAGAGAATAACTGTTATAATTATTAAGTCCTGAGATCACCATTTCTCTTCCGCCGCAACTCCAAAGAGGTGGTACCTCGCTGGGGAATAGCCTGTTCAATAATGGCATCAGGTACTGACTGATCTCTGGAATTCCAATTTGTGAATGAGGTCAAAAGCTTTCAAGAGAACCAGCCTGACTGGCTTATAAGACTCAGTCATCATCAAAGAGCATATGCCAACTACAAAATATTTAAGGTAATGATATCCAATCAATTGTATTCTAAACTTACAGAATAAAACTACACATATCACCAATACTCATAATGAAGTACCACAAATACTAAAACTCAAATTTTAAGAAATTACTCTTATCTTCCGAGATCATAACCTTTAGATCAACATATGCATGCTCTGCCTACCCGAAATTTCTTCTGCAACATCTGAGGATTCAGTGTTCGGAAGAGATGAATCAAAGTTCTAGCGGACATCATCACATCTATAAAATAATAATTTATTAGAAACTCCAGAACAAAGAGTCTATTGAGATAAAAAATGAATCATTCTATATGCAACTTACTCTTATCTTTGTGTGTTTTATACTGAGCCAGGTCTTGGAGAAGTTCTTCAGTCATGGCTAGAGGACATCGAGCTGTTATCTCCTTTATAGCATTGATTCTAGAAAAGGAAAAATGAATTAAAAAAAATTAAACAGTAATTTTAATCAAAGGTTTCCTAAAAGGTTAAAAATCAAAAGGAACAGAAGTTGGGTTTTATAGGGCTTAGGTCTCTAAAACTGCAGTATGGTAGAGACTGTGAGGGACTGCAGCCTTAGAGGGCTTTTGCTAGTTTATTGCCATTTCCTCCACTAGTGGAATAAGAAACAGTTATCTTCTTTGTAAAGTAAATAATGGTGGCATTTACTTACCAACTCTAAGAGGAGGAGGGATTAGATCAAATAAGTAAAGTTAAAGGTCTTTAGGACTGTTATCGCAGCAATAATTACATAAAAAGCAGCTCTTCACATACCACTTAGTTATTAGGACAGATCAGACAATCCTTAAACCGGTGCTCACACTTGTTAAGTGTTTCTGAATGAATCAGAAGGGCCAGTGCACTGTCTAGAGATTAAAGAGTGATTCGATAACAATTCATTTGTTCCAAGGGAAGATAGGAATTTATGGTAGGAAAGAAGAGAAAAACACTTTGATTTCTAAACAGTCTTTCATTTCAAACAGTAATGCTAGTAGAAAAACAAAATGTTGATTAGAAAAACAAAATATCTTTTCTCTGGCTTCCTCCTCAAAATTCTGACCAATAAAATAAAAATACCAAACCTCTTGAGAAGACAGTATATTTTAAACTGCTTTCCTATAGGCCACAGTACCATTTAAAATCTTACATCTTGGTCATCTAAAGCAGTGATCCCCAACCGTTTTGACACCAAGGACTGGTGCTCCTAAGAGATTCTAATGCCTGATGATCTAAGATGGAGCTGAGGCGGTGATGGTAGCGCTGAGGAGCAGCTGCAAATACAAATGCAGCTTCGCTGCTGGCCTGCCGCTCACCTCCTGCTGTGCGGCAGGTTCCTAAGAATCCTAGGGGTTGGGGATCCCTGATCTAAAGCAAACTTAGTACATTAAAAACACATCCAGTGCCTCCAGCCACATTCTACATACCCTACTGTCATGACTTCTCCAGAGTTCTTGTCCGTAACAAAATTGTTGGCCACAGTCATGAGCAATGACTGAATGATCTGAATTGGGAATAAAAGAAAAGAGTGCTGGAGCAATGTCTGTACCTACTCAAACATTTGAGGATAAAGAATAATAGATTATTCGTAGTAGGAAAACAGCATTCTATCTTTGGTTTGGGAGCTAGAAGTAATCAAGACTGAGGAAGACAGGTAAAAATAACTCCATTCTGCGCTTTAGTATTCTTTGCTATCCTTGGATTAAATTTTGCTCTCCTTTAATCTTATTTTTCAACATGAATTAAAGAAATTGCTCCTACCCAGGATAATCCAATCCAAATACTGTTTTAATCAAAGAAAGGAATTATCAGTTTTGAAAAATAATCTATATAGATTTACTGATACTCCTGTCCTATCATACGACTTGACAAATGAAATTGGAATTCTCAACAATTTGTTCAACTTCACTTTCCATAGTAATTTTTTTGTTTGTTTCTGTAACCAAACTTCTGTGTATATCTCCTCAAGAGTTAGTGTCTTTTCTAGTCATTTAAAAAAAGGCGGGGAAGGGGGGCAGTAATCCTTGTGGGAAAAGCCAACATGATATACTTAATAGTGGCATTGCTGTGCATGCACGAGATCTAGACAGAAGGTTTAAGAGTTCTCAACTCAAGTGTGCTCATGGCTCACTGCTTCTGCATGTACCAAATTGCAATCCTTTCTGTTTCGGTAATAAATCCTTTTAGGTGATGAAAAAAAGAAAGAGTTCTCACCTCTGGGGGTACTAAGTGATGAGATGCTTGTGCAGCAAACAGAAGGATCTTTGTTACTTCTGAAAATATAAGAGATCAGAAAGGTCATAGTCAGTTTATTGTTCTGCCTCTCAGGACTATAATAAACATGGTGAGCATATTCTGGCCTTAATGCTATTGCTGCTTATTCCACCTGGAATACCCAACCCCCAGATATCTGCATGGCTCACTCCCTTGCTTCTTTCAAGTCCCTGATCAATTGCTGCCTTATCAAAATGTCTTTCCTGGCCACATATTCTAAAATAGAACCTGCCCCAGCATTCCCTGTTGTCCTTACTCTGCTTCCTTCTTCCCCAAAATACTTATCTTCACCTGGACATGTTATATAGAGCATTCTCTGGATCTCCTAGAATGGAAGCCCTGTGAAGGTCAGGATGTTGCTTTGTGTCCACTGTGGAATTCTTATTATCTAATGTAGTGCTTAGCCTAGAAGCACTAAACAAATGAATACAAACATACATGTATACACACACTCTCCCTTAAAAGGGGAAGTATATACATAAAAACAAAACCTTTAGCTACAGAAGTGAAATGAATCCTAACTTGCCATTTGTTTGCTGACTGACCTTGGGTTTTTTTTTTCTTTCTATACCTCACAGGACTGAAGTGAGGATTAGATGAGATGATGCATATAAAACACTTAGCATGGTGCTTGACTCATGTTAGATGTTCAATAAAGGTTTGTTTCCTTCCTACCTTAGTTCAAGTTCAAAGGTAAAAACAACCATCTCTTCTTTCCTGCTTTTATGTTGTTTTTAATTGAGAATACAGAACAATGAGAGCAGTAAGATACAATCCTGATATCCATTACAAAGTTACAGTAAAAGGTTAAACTTTTTTTTTAGCATTTTTCCACTAGTATTTATGGTCTTATAATAGTCCCGCTTTATCTACAGGGGATACATTCCAAGACACCCACTGGATGCCTGAAGCCATGGATAGTACCGAACCCTATATATAGGAAATTTTTTCCTATACATACATAGCTATCGTAAAGCTTAATTTATAAATCAGGCACAATAAAAGATTAACAACAATAATAATAAAAGTTATGTGAGTGTGGTGTCTCTTTCTCTCTCAAAATATCTTACTGTACTGCACTTACCTTTCTGCTTAAGGGAAGCACTTTATGGCTTCCCTTTGGCATATCCAAATTGCCAGCATCTCTACTCTTGCAATCTGGGGCCATTACTAAGTAAAATAAATGTTACCTGAACACAAGCACTGTGATACTGAGATAGTCAATCTGATAACTGAGGCAGCTATTCAGTGAACTAATGGGCAGGGAGCACATACAGCGTGAATATGCTAGACAAAGGGATGATTCATGTCCTGGATGGGATGGAGCTGGACAACAAGAGATGTCATTACGTTCCTCAGAATATCATTAAATTTAAAACTTATGAACTGTTTACTTCTAGAATTTTCCATTTTATATTTTTGGACTGCAGTTGACCACATAATTGAAACCAACTGGAAATGGGGCACTAGTGTACAAAAAGGCTTGCTTTGAGAAACCAAATTGTTTTTTGTTTTTCCCAAAAATAATTGTTAAAGTTGATGAGCAGAACAAGTACCTTATGGCAGATTTTGGAAAACCTAAGGGTTTCTTTCTCCTTCCCTAAAACAGAACACACTTCATTCCTAACTCTTGTCTTTAGTAATTCCAGAAAAAAAGACTCTGGATGGTTATTTGTACCCAAGGCCACCAAAGAAACCTGGCAAGTAGGAGGCTTACCTCTTTGGTGGGGCTGCAGAAACCTTTGCACAAAGGGATAAAAGTTGAAGAGGAAAAGCTGTGCAAAAAAGAATGCACTGATTTTAATACATATATAACTGAAGTTACAGAGTTTAATTTCCCCCTAATACAATTACATCACCAAGCTCAACTAGTTGGGAATCATTTTTTACTTTTATTTTTTCTCAACAAGCATTCATGCCCTAGGATGATTCAATGTGCTGTTTCAACCAAGGAAAGGAAGGCTATGATACTATCCTCATTATGTAAAGGAATAAGAAAGTGTATACAGAATAAACCAGGGGGAAAAAGGCAGCCAAAATGCAACATTCTTCTACTTTTAAAATTGGTGTGGCTATGGATCTAATTTTTTAGTCTTTAAAAATAAAGAGGATTATAGGAAGGAACAGCATTGATATTAAAGCTCCAAAGCAATTGGCAAAATAGTAAGTCAAATCTGAATCACATCTAATATAATCTGATCACAAAAAACCCTCCCAGTTCTGATTTTATTATTGGATACCAATCTAACCACACTGGAGGAATCACTCTCAGTTCTTTTTAGAGAGAAAACACTACCCCTTTGGAGGCTACCTAAATAAAGGTAGCATGGGTCCAGTCATTAAAGCAAATGCAATCTTTGACTTCAAGAGAAACTTTTGTGATGGACTGGTCTTTTTCAAAGTTCATGTGTGAGAATACATTAATTTTTTCTATTTTGGCCACAGAGCAAAACCAGGGCCAGAGAAGAAACAGGGAAGACGTGGGATCGATATAAAGATGTATATTCAATTATAGTTAGTTTTGAAACTCTGGTATCATTTCCATCAAATCGTATTTAAATTACAAATTGCTTCTGCTTTCCTATCAAGCTCAAATTCAGGTATGACATGAAATTACTTTCACAAATGTAACCAGAATTGACTTGCTAATTCTGCTTTAGAACTGCAGCCTATGGAAAAAAGGCAATTTATTCTTTAAATGTTATTCTTAAAGAAATGACTGCCTTCACTCATATATACTTTCATTTTTAACTTGACATATGTCTATACTGTTTGATTTCAATAAACAAGACTGTTTTACTTTAAAAAGTTTTTTTGGAAGGAAATTAACACACTCAATGATGTTTAGAGCAGCATTAGTCACAAAAGCAAAATAGGGAACAACCTCAATGGTCATTTCTTTATGGCCTAAATTTTGGGAATCTCGCCTTTTTTACAATGGCAGTTAGTCTAGCAGTATATGACAGTATATGTGAAGTTTCCATATGTATACTTAATATAAATACATTACACTACCAAGGAGCTTCTGCAAACTAATTTAATATTAAATAAATGACCAGAGAATTCAGGTTTGCAAACATAATAATCTACTAGAGTGGTCTGGAAGTCAGGAAGGCTATGGATATATAAACTGCAAAATGCAGTAATGGTGGATAAAAATATGTGGGTTATGTTGGCTCAGAAAAATGTATATGTGAAACAAAGTTGAATAAAAAGAAAGTAGAAAAATACAACACAAAATAGTCTGTCCATAAACCAAATATATGTACAATTTAACATCCATTCATATTGATAAGAAAATGATAAAAATGGCTATTTTCAGAAAGAAAGACTATTTTTCTGTAAGTTATGTGCATTTAAATGGTTTCTGGGAATAAAATTAAGCCACTGCTCTATCTTAATGACTTTCCTTTTACCAAGAATAATTTTACTTCTAATATTCACCAAGAGAAACATAATGTAATTCAAACCTCGTGAATTCCCACCAATCTGGAGATGAGGTTCATGAGCATCATCTTCACTTCAAATCTCTCCTTAGAGCTCTCTAGCTGCTTTAGCAGTTTTTCTGCAAAATCTAGAAAAGAGAGTATCAGAGAAGTACACTGTGGGTCCATGGTCCGCACATTATCTAACGCTAGAGAGAAAGACAGTAAGATCAGCAACTCTGGTGTGGCTGTGCCTGAAATCACTCTGCCGAAACGGGATGGTAAAAATACCAAGAATGACAAAAAGTGAAAAGATTCACATATAGATAAATAAAACTTCAATGGTGCCCAAAGTTAAGTCTTAAGGATTCCCAAGATTTTTAGCATCCTTATCTTGGGTGACTGCTTGATAGGTGTTTCACTTAACAGTTCTCTAGAGCCTTGCTCCTCAAAGTGTGGTCTGCAGACCACCAGTAGCTGGTCTACACGGTAGTTTGTTAGACATACAGAATCACCTGACCTCCTGAATCAGACACTTTAACAGGATCTCCATGTGATTTTTATGTACACAATTACAGTTTAAGAAACACTAAGAGAGGTCAACAAACACTGCTGTACATTAGAGCAGCAGTCCCCAGGGACTGGTGCTACTATGAGAATCTAATGCCTGATGGTCTGAGGTGGAGCTGAGGCGATAATGCTAGCGCTGGGAAACGGCTGCAAATACAGACAAAGCTTCGCTGGCTCGACCGCCACTAACCTCCTAATGCGGCCCAGTTCCTAACAGGCCACAAATCAGTATCAGTCCACAGTCCAGGGTTTGGGGACCCCTGCATTAGAGTACAGAGAGCGTTTAAAAGTTCCAGTGCTCAGCTGCACCCCATACCAACTAATCGGAGTCTGGGGATGGCAGGCCCCGAACACCAATATAGTTTTATAAATTCCTTAGGCGATTCCAACGTGCACTCTAGTTTGAGAACTAGTATTCTAGAGAACAGGTTTCCCAAACTGTTGGCTTCCACACATCAGTTTTAAAAAAAAGGATCAATAAAAGATTCTGAATTTTTCCTTTGGTCAAGTACAATGTCCTACCACTACTGTGTTGTTAAAGACATGAATCACAGAGAGCTATTCTTCCATATTTTTCTTATTTTGCTGTGGACTGGCAGTCACCGCTTTTGAACAAAATTCTCTAGGTTACAATAAACTAATAACAACTAAGTATTGTCTCTTAAGTGCTAGTTATCTTATATTTTCTGGTAACTCAGAAGGTAAGAAACTAAACAGGCAGAGGTAAGGCCAACAGGGAACTTGGGAACTCATCATTATAGTACCTTGGGGATCATGAATTAAGTGAATAGCTGAAAAGTTAAACACCTCTGGTTTTTTCTTCTTCTTTTGTTTCTGAAAGACAAGGAGAGGAAAAACATTTACATTCTGAATTACAGTGATGAGGTGCTTGGGGTTAAATGTGCTAATGTGCTAAATGCTATCATCAAACCCATCATACTATTTAAAAAGAAAAAATCTTTGTTCTAAAAACCTTTCTTTCAACTAGACAAATTAAAGGTGGTTTTTGTCTTTTAAGATTAAACCTTGGGAATTTTCCACCTATGAGCACCTGTGAGAATTTAAAAAATTTGAAAATATAAGCATTATAAATTACATAGGACCAAACTAATGATTTTCAGAGTACTTGTTACTCTTCTGTAGACATAGCTAGCAAAGATAACCTAATACAGGCCATCTTGATCAGAATAAGTGAAAAGTAAATTTAATCAAATGAATTTACTCAAGTTACAGATTTTGCTAGAGCTGAAAACATTTACTAGTCTAAAAAAATTAGTGCTTAAAAATTCATTATACATTTCTAATCTTTTAAAAATGCTATTTCTTTATTTCAAATTCTTAAAAGCTTTTGCTAAAAAACACATATTCTGCATCCCCATGATTCCTACCTCATTTCCCAGGTACAAGTCTCACCTTGAGCACTTTCATAGCCTTTTCCAATCTTTTCTTGTGTTTAGAGCTTTTCTTCCCTGTGGCATACTGCACTAGCAGATCTCTTGCTGTTGGTCCTTCATCCTGAAGAAGAAACTACTTTGTAAAATGGTAAACAAGGAAAATCTGCACAGAAGCAAAGAGTAATCCTTTCAACCACTTCTTTGTAATTATATTCTCTGCACCGTTATTAAATGAACATAACTTTTAAAAATTCAGTAAAAAAGTATTTGCCCATGTGCACATACAAAGATTTTCATTGCAGCACTGATTTTTGTTTTTAATTTATATTGAAGTATAATATATAAACAGAACACAAGTTTGCTTTTATTTGAAAAAAGAAATTGCAAAGAAATATTTATCAATAACAAAATGCTTAAACTATAATATATTCACATTCTGAAATACTACATGAAGGTTAAAAGGATGAGGTAGATTTATATGTACTAATGGAAGATCTAAATGAATTGGTACACTTATGTATATATATATACATATACATTATATATATATACACACAAACACAAAGAAAGCAAATTGCAGAATAACATATATTAATTACATATTTTAAAAACCTACTACACACATAAGACAATCCATATATAAATGCATGAGAAACTGAATGGTTATCTGTGAAGAAGGAACTGGGAAGTGGAAATAGGACAAGGTCAAGAAAACATATATAAAATCCGACATTTTTTATCTAAAGAAGAAATACAGATGGCCAATAGACATATGAAAAGATGCTCAGGGTCACTAATCATCAGAGAAATGCAAATTAAAACCACAATGAGATATCACCTCACACCTGTCAGAATGGCTATCATCAATAAATCAAAGAACAAGAAGTGTTTGCAAGGATGTGAAGAAGAGAGAACCCTCATATACTGTTGGTGGGATTGCAAACTGGTACAGCCACCATGAAAAACAGTCTGGAGGTTTCTCAAAAAATTAAAAATAGAACTACCTTTTGACTCAGCAATTGCACTTCTGGGTATTTATCCAAAGAAAACCAAAACAACCATTCATAAAAATATATGCACCCCTATGTTTATGGCAGCACTATTTACAATAGCCAAGATATGAAAGCAACCTAAATGTCCATCAACAGACAACTGGATAAAGAAGTTATGATTCATATATACAATGGAATGTTACTCAGCCATTAAAAAAAGTGAAATCCTACCAATTCACATTGACATGGACAGACTTAGAGATTATACTGAGTGAAATAAGTCAGAGAAAGATAAATATCATATTATTTCACTAATATGCTGAATCTAAAGAACAAAAAGAACAAACTAATCAAAAACAGACCCTCAAATATAAAGGACAATCAGGTGACAGCCAGAGGTGAATGGGGTGGGAGGGCTGGGAGAAAGTGATAAAAAGGTAAAGAAATACATATTAGTAGTTGATAGATAGTCACAGGGATGGAGAGCATGGCATAGAGAATGCAGTCAGCAGTAAGATAATGGTTATGTGTAGAGCCAGAGGGAAGATACAATAATCAGGTGGATCATTTCATAAACTATATAAATGTCTAACCAATGTATTGTATACTTGAAACTAATTAAAAAAAAAAAAAAAAAAGGAATGACAGCATAGGGAACAGAACCAATAGTATTATAATGGCTATGTACAGAGCTAGATGAGTGACAGAGTAATCAGGGAGATCATTTCACAAACTATATAAATGTCTTACTGATGTACCGTATACCTGAAACTAATAAAAAAATGAGCTATCAAAAAAAATCTGAAATTTTTCACAATAAGAATGTACTGTTTGAGACTCACAAATACAGTGGACAATTTAGTGACAACGGGAAGGGGAGGTTGGGGGGCTGGGAGAATGGGGTAAAGGGTTAAAAAAGTACAAATTAATAGTTGATATACGGTCATATGGATGGGGAGCATGGCATAGGGAATGCAGTTAGTATTAATATATTGGCTAGGTGGAAAACCAGAGGAGAGAAGAAGCAATTAGGGGAATCGTTTTATAAACTACATAAATGTCTATCCAATGTACTGTATACTTGAAACTAATTAAAATAAATTAAGAAATAAAAGAATGTACTGTTCATATGTTATTTAATAAAATAACAAATTAAAAGATGTTATTACATATTCTAGTTTTCTTGTTACCAAAGTGCTAAAATGGAAAGGAAAATTTTTTTAGATTTTCTTTTTAATCTTTTTAATTTTAATAAAAAATATTTTTCAATAAAGACAATTTTGCGACATCATAAATCTTTTTTTCACTTTAAAGATGCCATATTACACCTCTCCCTTCCCTCATTCTAAACTTCTATGTCGACATTCTACCTCAAAATAACGTTCCAGCAATTTTCATTCTGAGTTTATATAGTGAGATATAGACAATGCTTTAGAACTAAGAACAGGGCTGAATTAAACTAAGTTTTATTATTGAACCAATCTTACTGAATGTGACAAATTCTAAACAGAATAAAATCTCAGCATAGCAGAACTCAATAAGGATAAAGTAACATAAGTTTCTTTCTAACTTGAGCAGTCACGGACTTTAAAATTTGTACTGAGAGCAATAATGAAATCTGATAAACAATAAAGCTCAGAAGCATCTATGATTAAACTAACCTCAGATTCTGAGTCACTGTCCGGTTTCTCCTCTTCATCCTTCCCAAGGAAGAATGTCAAAGCAGCAACTAATATCTAAAGAGCAATCAGAATAAAGTCTATTACTCACCCCAGCTTACAACAAAGAATACTTTTGTCTACACTTTATACATGAGTTCAAACTAGGAGCTGAAGAAAATAATCAAAGAGTGGTAAGATTTGGGCTAATTCTTAATTAAAACATAACGTTTTTATAATGTGATTTGTCCTAAAATATATATATATGTAGTTGTCCCTAAGTATTCTCAGGGGATTGGTTCCAGGACCCTGGTGATACCCAAATCCATGGATGCTCAAGTCCCTTATACAAAATGGCCTAAATCAACGCATACAGTCAGCTTTCTATATCTGCGTATTCACTCAATCACCAATCAAAAATAGTATTTTTCGAAATACTTTGAAACCCATGAATGCTGACAGCCAACTGTAATTTTAAAAAAACTTTAGATAAAAACAGCCATACTCCACACAGTAGTTGTTATCTTTCAAGCAAACTTTCAAGAATTTCTATATCCTTCACACAAAAAGTGACATTACAGCCCTTCTAAGAGAAAGTCAAACAGGTCCTTAAATTTCTTTCAGCTGTGCCTGAGTCCAATAAAATAAGTCAAGAATCACAGGGGAAAACATAAAATAAACACTGAGGCTATCATTTAATACACAGCATTTAAAAAACTCATGGTAATTTTGTTTGACTTCTCTAAAGCACAGATTGGTGAGGCGGGTTAAGCACAAAGAGAGCATTAGTAAATATGACCTGCATATCCACACACTACCTCTTCCTCACCTACTACCTCCTTCACCTTCTATCTAGAGAAGCAGACCACTCACAGATATTGCCCTCACACAGCACTCACCTTGGTGACCTTAGAGAAACATGCAGTTGTGATCACATTGACAGTTTTGGCATCGTTCCTGCGAGAAGATAAATGAGTATTTTAAAGTAAATTTTCATTCTACTGTATTTGATAGCATAGACAATGGCACAAAATAAACAATATAATAAACATTTCTGACATGTTAGAATTCATAGTTGTAATATTTTAAAAAGTCAACCATAGGTGAACATTTAAATTTTAGCCCAGTCTTACTTCAGAAAATCGCACAGCCATTAAGATGGACTTTATGAAGAATTTTAATAACACAGGAACCTCAAGGTAAGTGAAACACACAAAACCAGAATAAAAAATCATTAATATAGTAAAATTTCAAACATATTTAAAAATTCACATTAAAGAAAAGACAGGAGGAAATATTATAAATTATTAACAAGATTGTCTTGAGGTAGTGGGACTGTAATTTTTTCAAAAACTTTTCTAGCTCCTCCAAATTTTCTATTGCAACGAATATTACCTTAATACTAAAAAATAAATTAGTGAAAGAAAAGCAAAAGGCAATTGTTGGGGGCACTATACCAACAAATCAAAGTTTATGAAACATTTTATTTTACATATAGGATAAAATGATTTGAACATCTTCAGAGTGGCAGATTAATAAGAGCACAGGTTTCAGAGTCAGATCTGAAATGATACATGCTATATTGAATTGTATTAAAAGTTCTCATTGATCAAAAAAAAAGAAAAAGAAAAAAAAAGATCTGGGTTTGAATTTCAGTTCTGCCCTTTATTAGCTACTAAACTTAAACTCTGAACTTCAGGTTTGTTACCTATAAAATGGGGATAATTCCAGATAAGCTGCATTACATTGTTCTGAAGAGTGAATGAGGTAATACACAAGTGCACGTGAACCATTTCATGGTAGTCAGTGTTGCTATTCATTATTGTATTGCCTCTGTATTTTTACTTCCAACTTAACCTATGACGGAGTATATTAAAGAGCTCAAAAGCAAGAAAAATATTTGTGTAAGTGTTCTGTAGTAACTATAAATGAATAAAAGATTCTATTTCTCAAGAGACAAATAAATATATATTACCAGATATTTCTTCTGTAGAGTTCAATCATCACATCCAAGGATATCTTGGCTGCAGTGGCATTGCTGTCTCTTAACATGGTGTACATGAAATTCTGCAATACCTAAAGAAAAGAGGAGAAAGAAAACTTAATACACTGACGGTACAATGCTGCAAACATGGAAAACAAAAGAGTACTTACTACATTCACTTTATTGTTCTTGTGTTTTGCATTTATATTCTTGATATCAGTCACGATATGTGTATATAAAGTCTGAGAGAAAAGAGCAAAAACGTATACATTAACCAACATATCAAACCTTGCTCAATTTGGAGAAAAGTACAAATGTACAGGAGGACTTAATATTATTTACTTTTCATTTTATCACGAGACCAAAAACAAAACAAAGGCAGCAGCTCAAATGCAAAAGGAAAGCTGCCCTGAAAAGGTTAAACATGGAATTACCATATAAACCCAATTCCACTTGCAGTTATATACCCAAGAAAAATGAAAACATATTTCCACACCAATGTTCACACAAATATTCTTAGTTGCATTATTCAGAATAGCCAAAAGGTGAAAACAACCTGAATGTGCATTAACTAATGAATGAATAAACAAAATGCGGTATAATCACACAATGAAATAGTACCTGGTGACAAAAAAGGAATGAAGTACTGATACATACTAAAACGTGGACAAACCTTGAATTCATTATACTAAGTGAAAGAAGCCAGACACAAAAACTACACATTACATGACTCCATTTATATGAAATACCCAAAGAACGCAAATCTATAAAGACCAAAAGTAGATTGGTGGTTGCCTCGGGCTAGGAGAGATGGGGGGATGGGAGAATGACTGCTAATGGAAATGGGGTTTCTTTGGAAGGTGATAATAATGTTCTAAAATTTATTGTGGTGATGGTTGCAAACTTTGAATATACTAAAAACCACTGAATAGTACACTTTAAATGGATGAAGTGCATGTGAATTATATCTCAATAAAATTGTTATTTTAAAAAAAGGAAAGTTGCTCCATTTATTGAGACCCCAACTGCTTACAAGACAATACTGGCAATACATATATCATTAGTGCCCAAAATATGCTCCCAGGGACAACTTTTATCCCACAAGTTAGACCAAGAAGTACAATTGCTAAAATCAAATGTTAGCAGTGTCTGAACACTTTGAAAAAAAAATTTTTAAGTTAATGAATGTGAACTTAAGTTTTTCTTTCTTAAATTTCTTTCATAAACCTTCAGCTTCTAATCTTACTAATAAAAGCAAATACAAAGTCATAGAGAAATAGTAATAACAAAAAAGGTTAGTTTTTGGGGGGCTAAGGTGGGTGGTTATAACTGAGTGTCCAGTCATGCTCTGATTTAGCTAGTCGGTACAGCACAGTGGAAAAGGGCTTGGGTTCTGGAGCCAGACTGCCCCACTAAGCTGTGTGACTCTGGGCATGTTACTCTACCTCTCTGTGCATCAGCCTTTTCATCTATAAAATGATAATAATAATAATAAAAATAACCCTTATCTCATTTTGTGAGTAAGTAAATAAAATACATAAAAAGCTTTAGGAATGGCATCTGGCAAAAAGTAAGCACTTAATAAGAGTTCAGCTATTACAACCGTGGTCGATTTTTTTCTTTTACAATTATTAAGTGTATCCAATAATGTGAAGCATCAAGAATTTACAAGTTTTATGTCACTGCAAGGAAAAATGAGATGTATAAAGCAATTTTGCTCCTTACCTTTCGCAGCAGCTTATCATGACAACGCAGAAGTTCAAAGAAGAGTTCTAGTAAACTTGATGGATTGATGAGATTCTTATTTCTCAGCAAGATCAAAGCTTTGCAAAATGTCTCCGGAAGGAAAAGAAAACATACTATAAGATAAAAGTAATGAGAAAATGGAGCATGTATATCCCAAAAGAGCATAACGTCTTCTACTAACTAGACATTATTCTAAGCATCAGAACAGAACAGATAGTCTCTGCCCTCATGGACCTTATACACTGTGGGTGGAGAAGAAGAGGGGAGAGATGAGCAAGTAAGCACATAAACAGGAGTATCTCAGATAATGTGTCACAAAGGGTCATATTAATTGATACATTGTGGCTACTTTACACATGAGGTCAATATATGACAAAACCCCAGAGATCAATGAATCCACAGAGATAAGAAAGGTGGGGTAACAGTAACATAATACACTAAATTGGAATAACCAATCTGAATTTGTGACCTTACAAGGCATTCTTTTGAAGTATTGTTAGTACCAAGAATGGCCCAAAAGCAGTTGTAGAACTTTTACCACCAACTTTTATGAGTACCCTTATCGCTCAAATTTTTGCCTCTAATACTTTTTTCCATTAGATGGAAAGGACTAAGAAGCACCCAGTGGCAAGGTAGTGACAATCTGAATGTAAAATAGTAAAAATAATAATTCTTAAAAGCGTCAAATAGTTGGTGATGGAAGGAAATCTAACTTTGGGTGGCGAACACGCAATACCATACATATATGACATACTGTTGAATTATATACTTGAAACTTATTTGATTTTATTAATCAGTGTTACCCTAATAATTTTTAATAGAAAAAAAATTAACAAAAAGTACATAAAAACGTAGTTACATTGTCAAAGAGAAATATAAAAAAAATCATTTTATTGATTTTATTAGGTAATAAGTTAATTACATAGATATTTTGTTTCTTCTTCTAAGAAATAGTCTGTTTCTACCCGTGTAAGCAGGAAAGCATAAAGAAAAACTTGGGAATGATTCAAAAAGTCCTGGAAAGGTAGCAAATATATTAGGTAGAAAAAAGTTCAGAGGTTGATAATGATTGGTGGCTATTACAACAGCCAATTAAAAAGAGGATGTCGCCAGAGTGTTCTAAATGATTCCTCTAATGCTAATTACACAGACTCAATCCCTTGTTTCCTAGCAAAGGAAATCTCTACTAATTATTTTATAAAAACCTATTAATCATCATAAAATACTATGAAGAAACATACACGCACATTTATTTATTTAATAATGCCTGCTGACCATATTAGTGTGGTGCTGTTATCCACACAAAACTTAAAGCCTTATTACTTAAAAAGACATTGGGTCTCATAGTCAAAATCTCAAACCTGTACAACCTGGAGGAACTTGAAATGTTCCATGACATTAAGTGTTCTGACTAAATGGTTCAGGTTTGAAACCTCTTGGGCTGTGCTGCTAGGTCCCATGTCCCAACTTGAGAGTTAATCAGTTAACAACCCTAAGCCTTCAACCTTGGTTTGTCTGAGATCGTAGTCTTTTTCTTAAAAATCTTAATAAAATCTTAGAATTATAGAAAGTCTTTCAAAATGTAATAAGAAACAAAGTTGAATCTATGGACTTAGTATTTTTACAAGTTTTGGTATAGGATATCGGTATGTTTTGTGATCATAATATTTGTGTAAGTTCAACCTGCTGCAAAGGTGTTTAAAAGGCTGATATATAAAATTTAAAAATGCCTAAGGCTGGGTTCCCATTACAGGGATTTGTCTGGGTGTGCTCTCTTTTAAAAGGGAAGTAAGGCAGCAGGATAGGGCGGAAAAAGGAAGCTGAGCAAGGATGTGCACCTGGCTGGAGACTAGCTTTAGTCCGATCACAAAGAAGCCCTGGAGCATAAACTGCAACACAAATCAGGACCCACCATGAAGGAAGGGGCTGTGCTTTTGTACTGCTGGGTTAGTCAGGTACCTGCCGTGAGCTTTCTTCGAGGACTACCTTCCAGGGGCTAGGGCTCCCATTTAGCTGAAGACAATGCTCTAGAGAAACAGGAGTGGGGCAGGGGGGCATTAGGTGAAGGAAATGGGTGCACTGGCTTGGTAAAGGGGACCCAATCTCAACTACTAAAGCGACAACGTTTCAAAGATCAAAATGGATATTTAATGGGTAAGTTTATTATTAAGCTTATACAAACTATAAGTTGTAATTAAGGTTCTTCATGCATATGAGATTTGAATGACTATAAGGAACTATCTATTCAAAAGAGGCAAAAGAGCATCCAGGGTTAGCGTACTGAAAGAACAGAAAGATCAGAGGAGTGCAGCAGAAAAGGTGAAGAGATTAAAAAAAACACAGGCAGGAAGTAGATCACATAGGGACTTGAAGGCCATGATAAGTTTGAGTTTTATTCTAAGAATAAATCAGAAGCCCCAGAAGGATTTTAAGGAAGAGGTGACATATTCTGATTAATATTTTAAAAAGATGTTTAGTTGAGAGGCTGTTCTCATTTAAACACATATTATATGCACAGACAATAAATAAGACAGCATAGGTATCAACCCCACTACTGGTCATACCATTCGAAGATCTGGATCCAAGACAGTGTGATTGTAGGAGAGAAGATCTTTCAGCTCTTGAGGAAAGTTACTTAAATGTTCTGGGTAGCAGTGACCAATCTGTAACAAAGCAGACTCTTCTGAAGTTTCTCTTTCTTTCCTATAATTCATGGCACACATTTAGGATGTTCTAAAATAGAAGAATAAAGGCTATTTCACAGTAGGTGGTTCCAAACCATATCTTTTTTTTTACATGCTAATTACTCTGACCCCTTTCACATTTCCTCTAGTTTCAGTAAAATATGTGACATAATTTAGAATCTGACTTTATAATGAACTTGAAGAAAACAAAGAGTTTGAAAGTTTTGCTCTAGATGGTTCTGTGAAAAGGTCTAGCAAAATCTTTGAACTCACCATACGGAAAAAAATAAAATTTGCAAAGAGAGAAAATGAAAAAAAAATTTTTCTTTAAATGACCCTTTTACTCTAAATGGAATGAGGCTGGGAATTGCTGGAAAAATATTCTGCAAACGATATGTAACAACTGGTTTTTGTGTTATTCGGAAAGTATCTTCTTACCTGTGCCATAAACATCACCAGCTCTGCCAGTTCTTTGCTGGGTTTATTTGGTTGTAATTTGAAAATCTCCACATTGGATTTGTAGTGATTATATTGCTGTAGAAACTGTAGAAAAATAAATTTAAGTTTGTCACCTTCTATTATATCACTTGCTCAGCAGGGAATGAAAAATTACTTAGTAGAAGTCTTTGACAGTAGCATGGAGCTAAAGATGTGACAAAAGTATATAGAAACACTACCTTTTCCTCATCTGTATTCTTCAAAATAAGTTTTGAAAAATTTAGGCACATCATAGGTAAACTAAAGACCCTTTCTTCTACTATTAGAAATTTAGGTAGTGTGGTGTAAAGCAGCAGTCCCCAATCTTTTTGGCACCAGGGGCCGGTGCTCCTATGAGAATCTAATGCCTGATGATCTGAGGTGGAGCTGAGGCAGTGATACCAGCACTGGGGAGCAGCTGCCAATACAGATGAAGCTCTCATTTGCCCGCCACTCACCTCCTGCTGTGCGGCCCAGTTCCTAGCAGACCATGGACCAGTACTGATCCTTGGCCTGGGGGCTGAGGACCCCTGGTGTAAAGAAGAGTGAAGTAAAAGTCAAAAACTCAGATTCTGGCTCTATTCTGCCATTTACCATCCAAATAACTCCTACTACATTTTCGATGTATACAGAGCACTCACATCAGCAGAAAAATACCAGGCCAGAAAAAGTAAATTATTTATATCTCAAGTACACAAAGTACTCCAGTCAAAATTCCCCTCTTTTAAATACTAATTGAGATTTTATCCTGGATAGATGCACAGAAATAATGATAGTAGCTTCCACTTATTCAGCACTTGCTATATGCCAACCTCATTGTGTACATTATCTCATTTAATTATGTTTAATCGTAGCAACTCAATCTAATGTTGAAACTTACCAGGCCTCACTTACATGTATCTACTCTCTATCCCTAGACCACACTTTTAAGGAGTATATGTGCATGAGAGAAAGAGAGACAGACAGACACTGTGAGAATGAGTACTTCTTGATATTACCAGCCTTGACTGGTCTAGTGAACTCCACATTCATTTATTACTTGTCTGATATCTCTGTTTAGATGTCTACCAGACATTTTAAACTTAGCATGGTCAGAAAACATAACTCTGATTTCCAACAAAACTGGTAGGCCTCCTTCTTTCTCCACGAGTAGGAGTCAAGAGAGACCTGAAGCCCCCTACATGTTTCAGATAAGACCCTCTTTTTCTTGACTCCATACCACTATTGACAGGAGAGAGCAGAGTGCCTCAGAACTCGGTATGCTCCTGGCAAGATCCTTATCCCACTTCTTCCCCTACCCTACCCTGGCCCAGCCATCACTAACTGCCTTGAGGTAAACAGGACATATTCCCATCCAGTTTTACTTTCTTCATGTCCTTACCACTATATGTCTACCATCACTAGAACATAAATTCAAAAGAATAAGGTTCTCATATCTGTCTTACCATTGTATCCTCAGTGCTTAGAATTATACTGACACACAGTAGGTAAAATATGTATAGATCTGCATGTGTATTTGTTAAGTGAATGAAAGAGCAATTCTGTGGTAAGAATGATCTCCTTACATATTAAAACAGGCTCAGTAATTAATGCTCCCTTTTGAAAGAACTGGTCAAAAGCAGGGCTAGGATTTAGTTAGTTTTGAAACCAGTGCTCTTAAATACAGCACTATACAGACTGTTTATTACTCTGTCAATGGTTGTATAGCGCTTTACGCATCTTAGAGCCTTACCTATATTAATTTCTTGTATTTGTTCCTTACTCTTTATTTTCACTGCCCTGATTCTGGGAAAGGGTTCTCTTTACTGGTGACCTAAATCACATCGCTCTTTTTTTAAAGCATTAATATAAATATTTCTACATGAAAAATTGGGGAAGAAGGGAAATGAAAACGGCAGTCAAAAGATGAGTAACTGTATTAGCCATTGAAAAAAATCATAATTTAGTGAGAAAGAAGCCTAAACAATTGCAGCAAACACCTAGCGGATTCTTGTTTAATGCCTGTCAGACAGATGCGTGTCTGAAGAAAACACTTGCCAGATTAACATATCAAAATCGCCACTTTCATTTTGTCGCTTCTCGGCTCAAACACCTTCAATGTTCATAATTCGTATGACGTCCGTATACAAAGTCTGGACGCAATCTGGACCTAATCTAATTTTTCAACCTCATCTTTTCCCGAAAAGATTCTGACATCCAGGTCATGCCAGCTTCCGATGAGTTTAAATCCTGGTTTAACTAGATATACTAAACTCCTGTGTCTGTCTCTTATACATGAGAATACCACCTCCTTCCCAACACAGCCCTACCATAGACAGCTCGGCTCGGAAACGAACGTCGGTAGAAAGCATCCTGACATACGATTCAACAAGTGTTACTAACTAATTCAAGTTAGGGGTTCCTGAAAAGAAAAGGTTGAGAAACCTGCATGGAAGTTAGAGGTTAGGGGCGGGCCATTTGTCTCTCCACCTCAGTGAGGTCGGGAGATAAATCCTAAAGCAAAATGAGGTCTTTAAGGGTGTTTCCGTGACAGCGGGGTCTACAGAGCAGGAAAAATATCCAAAGGGACAGCAGATTTCCAAGAGGTGGGGAACGAACTCCGAAGCATGTCGCTTCTCAAGGCCTTTTCTCTTCCCGAGAGACCCCAAAGCCTAACAGAACACGTGGCCAGCCAGGATCCCAGCTCCACTCTACGCCTCCCCGCCCCACTGGTGTCTAACCAGTCGCGCTTCGGCCTCTAGCGTTGCCGCGCCGCACACCTACCTCTTCCACATAGGCCGGTGGGTCCCGCTTGATCAGATTCTGTAACTGCGGCAAGTTGCTGGGCAGCTTGTTGTTGTTTCTGTTGGACATATTGGCTGGCTCCGCGGCGACCACTTTTTGGAAAATCCACACTGCTGGCAACTGCAAACAGTTCCAGCTACGGCTGGGAATCGTGCTTCCGAGTACGACCGGAAACAGCACATGGGACGTTCAACAGGTGGCGCCATTTTGACTCTTAAAACGGGCGGGACTACGGGAGCCTCGGAATGTCAAACTTACTTTCACTGCCGAAATGCTCTGTCGTGGCTTTTAAGACATTTCCCACCGTCGGGGAACCGCTACTACTGCCGACCGTTTCTGAGATCATCTGAAATGCAAAGGGTTTTGTTTTGTTTTGTTTTCCACATACATTAGTTATTTCATCATCTCGATGCTCTTACGAAACAGATGAAGATTACTAGATTTTTTTTTTTTTAATTCCTAAACCTAAAGTTAGAAGCTAAAAAAAATCCGTGGGGAGTAGATAGCACTATCCTATTCTAATAGAGGGGGAAAAAAGAGCAATGAGGGATGTTGTTTTTAATTGTATAATTTTAAATACTTTTTTGTTTCAACTCAACGCGACCCAGACTCGGGATAAGACTGCCAGACTGGATAAAATGTGGTCATGATGATTGGTTTAAAAATGCAAATTAATTTGTATTGAAAAGAACCAGTGTTATAACTTATGCACTCTTAAGCCAGAGTTTTAAAATCAGTTCCTGGTAATTCCAAGAGAATACATTTCTACCATGTCACAAATGTGCAAAAATAAATATGTGGTGAATGATGTATGACATAGAGTGTTAATACAAAGTCTGCTTGATCACTCATCCTATGCCAGGCACCATTCCAAGCACTTTACTTGTATTAACTCATTTAATCCTCAGAACAGCCTTCTAAAATAGGTACTATAATTATGTGCACTTTATAGATGAGGAAATAATTCTCAGACAAGCTGACTGCCTAAATTCATAGCTGGCGAAGAAACTGGGATTTCAATCCAGGCAGTCTTGATTGTAACCAGATAGAAAGAAAAAAGCAGCCTGACAGCCTGTCAGCTGGTACCTGGTTGGGCATTAATAGATGGATGGTGATGTTCTCCTGCTTTACATAAGCAATTTCAAAGAACACCAATTTCAGTCAAGGTTATCTGTGACCAGGATGGAATGAGCCCCAAACAAGACAACTCTAATCACATCTGAGCACAAACAAAATCAAGAAAGCTGTTCAAACCATGGTTAGTTTTACAGCTGCATTTGGAGAATGCCTATTCTATTTATTAATCATTGAGTCGAGTACTTGTGAAGGTATTAAGAAGTAAATGTAAGCAATAAATTTTTTTCTAAATCAATAGATTTATTTTTTTTTAATTTTTGGTTAGTTTATATAAATGAGGAAAAAGTATCCTCAAAAAATATATTGAAATTATTTAATATAATTCCTGTCAAAATCATAAGGTTATGAATAGTCATCTTGAGTCACCAAAACGTGACTTGTGAATGAAAAATTCAGACCATGTCACAAGCTTTTATTCACAATCGATATGTCAGGAACTAGTGTAGTTGTTAGGAATACAAAAATAAATTGGACATGGGCATTTGCCCTCAGGAAACTCACAGATTAATAAGGGAGACAAATAGATAAACACATTTAAAATGAATCAAAGTGTTCCTACTATAGAGCAGTGGAAACAATAGAGAGGACAACCCAGCCAGGAGGAATCAGAATGTTTCACTACTTGATTGAGACACTGAAAGATGAGCTGTTCTGCACAAGTAAAAAAAAGGCTTTTTTTTAAATAAAGAAAATAGCCTTTATAAAGGTATAAAGGCTTGAAAAAGTCTAATAGATTTAAGAGATGGCCAGAAGTTTGGTGTCGCTAACATTTGGAAGGGGAGTGTGAGGCAGGGAAGGAGCTGTGGAAAATAAGTTGGGGAGGGTTACGAGGCACTAATGATGAAAGGCTTCACATGCTAATCTAAGGAGAGCATATAGGTCAGCTCATTTTACCCCCAAACACACTGAAAGCAGATTTTTTTTTGATAGATGAAAAAATTAAGGCTGAAAGTGGCTAACCGAATAGTTAGTCCTCCATATCCATGGGTTCCTTATCCTTAGATTCAACCAACCAAAGATGGAAAATATTTGAAAAAAAAATGTTGCATTGTTGCTGATGTGTACTATGTAGTTAGGCCTATGATGGTTGCATCTGTACAGACATGTATAGACTTTTTTCTTGTTATTATTCTCAAAACAATACAGTATAACAATTTACATGGCATTAGGTATTATCAGTACTAAAGAAGTGATTTAAAGTATATGAGAGTGTGTGTGTGGGTTATATGCAAATACTATGCCATTTTATGTAAGGGTTTGTGCACCTGTGGATTTTGGTATCTGCAGAAGGTCCTGGAACCAATCCTTTATGGATTGTATGTATTTAGAGTAACTAACTGAATATGTATTTTCAAATGTTAAATAATGGCTTTATTATGTGTAATGTGATATATGTATATGTTTAATGTATATTATCTGGAAAACACCAAGAAAACTCCATATTCATTTCTGTATTTAGTCTTGAATTGGCAAAGAAACTGCATTTTTTTCTGATCCCCAAATGATTTTTAACCTGAAGTGAATTATTTTAGAAAAAAAAATTTTACTTTATACCTTTGTAAAAGAGACCTTATTATAAAATGGATCATAATATATGGATTGAAATGAATTAAAAATTTCTTTATTGAAGAGGCCTAGATTAGAGGGCATACTATGTATTTACTAGCTTAATTGTTTGTTGTCTTTCTTTCTGCACTGGATTATGAGTTTAATGAGGATTTTTTTTCACTGTTCTATCCTCCACATTTGGAGCAACACATGGCAAATAGTAGGTGATCAGTTAATATTTGTTGAATGAATGAATGAATGGACAATCTTGAGTCTCTTCCAATCCTTCAATTGTGTGATGTATTAAAGAAATAAAAATCTCTTAGACATTCACAGTCGAAATTTACCTCAGTAAGTAATAACATGTGAATTCTAGTTATTATCTCTCTCATCAGAAACCAAAGATATTGACTATGTTCAGAAAAGCCAGGCATGTGTCAGTACTTTTCCAATAAAAATATATTGTTTTTAAAAACTGTCAGATTAGCCACTGGAGGGAGCTCATGCTTTTCTTTTTAACAAGAAAATCACACTATTTGACAAAATGACCACATACAAACTTGATAGACATTTTAGTTCTTTTTAAGATTAATTTATGCTTTTATTGTTCTTCTCCTCCCCTCCTTTCCAGCTTTATGTGAGTTTTGTCGACAATTTCATCTATCCTTTTCTCTTTGTGGGCAATGAGAACCATTGGGTCTACCTTTGAACGAATCTATCACCTTCAGGCTCAACAGGGACTACTGGTTCCATCATCTATCTTTCTTTGATTTTTTCCTCTTAAACCACCATAGCCAAGGTCTTAAAAGTCAAAATGTTTTTCAAGAATCATTTAATGTTTTTTTCTATGTCTTTACACTTAAAACCTCAAAACATAACATTATAGTTGGCTTTGAAAGATCTTTAATAATTTTGTTAATAGAGTAGGATAACTAGACCCTTTGTTGATAGACTACTGTACATTATATCATTATTTAATCTCACAAATGGGTAAAAGAACCAAAGGCTTGCCCTGAACTTTTTGCCAGATTTCTTGGGTGTGCCAGATGAACCTGAGGTCATTTGCTGCCTTATTCTGTAGGATCTTCTGTTACTGCAGGATTACGACTATTAATGTGATTGAGTTTGGGTGTTCCTGATTTTCACTATTATAGGAGCCCATAAGGAAAATTCACATCATAGGACCCAAGATCTTTTAATAATTTTTCTCTATCATGGGAAATGTAATAGGCTATGGCTAGTCATTTTTTTTAAGTGAAGTATGTAAAAATTTGTGGGTCCCTTTTAAGCAGTCAAATTACAGTAAGGGGAGAGAACATGTAATGTGAATAAATTTCCTATTTCTTTATTTGCTTATAAATCATGCTTGCTTGCTTGCTTTTTCATTTCTATAAATTATTAGAAAGAACACTGTACCTCTATAATCCAAATGATATGAATGTTGTGAGGTGTCCTCAAGGATCTACAACCTCAAGGATCCGATTTATTTCAGAAAATAAGTAAAAGTGGTGAGAATACCTCTCTCTTCTCTCCCTGAATGTGTTCCCGGTTATATACTGTCCTCGGAGACACAGTCACAGAAGGAGTAGCCTCCCCTCTGTTGTCTACCCCTAACCTGAGGGACCCACGGGGGTAACTGGAGGATTGGAGAATCTTACCTTCGGGCAGAGGAATGGAGCAATGTAGGAACTACCTGGACATTATTTGGCTTTGCATTTGGTAGAGAATAAAGAAAAAATGAAATTCTTTTGGAGTCTTCTAATTTCCATCTCATTGTTAGCAAAATAATCTAAGACCAGAGAAATAGATTTCTCATATTTTGGCAGTCCTAAACTAGTTCCTCATGACAGTTTATTTTAAAATATAAACATATTTAAAGGAGTACAGGGAACATCATTATAAAAGGTGGCCAAGTTAAGCCATCGGGTATCCAGTAAGAAAAAAAATTATGTTGTACTGGACAGAACATGAAAGGAGATAATGTTTTGGGAGAAACCTTAGAGATCATGGTCTCTCATGCTTCACTTTGCAGATTAGGAAACTGCTCCTCAGAGAAGTCATGAGACTTGTCAAAATTACTCAGCCAATGAATGGTAGGACCAGAAATATATTCTTGTCTCATGATTGCCAAGCTTTTGGTTGAACGTCCATCTGTAAAGTTTCTTCCAGTGTTAATAGTCTGTATTTGGGGTTGTAGGAGATGATAATAAAGATAAAAGCCACTAACACTTGCCGCTCAAAAAAAAAAAAAGTACGTCATATATAACCTGCATCATTTGGGTTCTCTGCGAAGTAGGCCCTGAGACAGAATCAGATGTGCAAGAGATTTATCAGAGGTAACCTTTATGAAAATAAAAATGAGAGGAAGCAAAATTGGGTAGAGACTCCCTCAGACTGTGATGGAGGTCTGAGAAGGTCTTAGTCAACCCAATGGGGAGCTCCTGACTAAAGGTTGTCCGTTAGAAGAGTCTTATATGGGACAGAAGTGATCAGACTCTAGTATTCTTCCTACATTCTGTCATTGGCTGGA